TCCAAGGAAAATTCAAAAAGTCCCTTATCAAATGGCAAAATCAAATGCTCAAACACATCAAACGAATGGAAAACAACCGTCATATTCCTGACTTGGTACCAGCATGTTCTTATGTAGAAAATGGTAGATTAAACCTAGTTTTACAGCTAAACAAACCTCTCCCTTGTATGACAGTCGCATAGAATTCCATTATATTGGCAACAATGTGTGAGCAAAAAAACAGACGCAATGGGTACAAAACGTCAAAAAATAGGGTACAGTAGTCAACATGTGGTATAATCTTAATCGCTATAAAAACAAACAACTATATCAACAAAGAAAAACAAAATGGCATCTAGACACTCTATAGACAATGCACATTAGCAACAATAAAAGACAAGAATACAAAAAATTACCATAGCACAATAATACATTGGCGGGATGTATTAATACCGAGCCACGCCAAAAGGATATTACCAAAAATGGACTAAACAGTTAAGGTTAAAATATACGAAGCCAATAAAAAGAACACTTTAACACGTAATTAAGATGATAAACAACGTCAGTACCTAGAATCTACACTTCAAGACCATCATGTATTATTTGTGGAGTTGATACGGAATATTTATCAACAAGGTCTTGGTATCTTCCAATGAACTTGTTTTAGAAAAAGGACAAGATGTTCTTTGACATAACCCTGATTCATCAACTTTGTGCTCAGACACTGGTGAAGTTTTACAAAGTCTGAGTAGCAGCTGCAAGCTCTTGAGTTGGGAAACGTATATCCCATACGCAGGTGAAGTTGGTATATTGCTGCTAAGGTGGGAAAATTTATAATTTCAAAATGAAAATCGTCTCGTTTGTAATAGATTCTGGTACTGAGACGACCGCTTTCTTCAAATTTTCATTTTTATATTGAAAAGCATTGTGGATTATTTCTATTAGATGATTTTTAAATTTCACATGGGGAATGGTGGTATGAAGGGTTGAACAATCAAAGGTTTTGATAGAATTAATTTTAGAGAAAGATCGAGATTTAAAATTTTCTAGCAGTTCTTTAGAGTATTTTAGAATCCACATATGGTTAGTACCATTACGCGAATAAACAGTTTCACAGTATTTCTGAAGACCCTCTTTCACTGCTGCGAACAGAATTTTTGTAAATCTAATGGACAATACCTTTGCAGAACATGCAGATGAGCCAGGAATGTACCGATATTTGTACGGAATTTTGTGAAGCTTAGGTATCCAATGACCGATTTCTTAAGTTTTATGAAAATATCATTTTACTGGTTTAAAGAATACATACAAAAAGGGTGAGGGGTAGACATTTGAGCAAAGCAAACAGGATAATCGAATATATATTAAACACTAAATAGATGGTGAGGAAAGGGATTTATCACTTTTTTAAGAAAAAGGGTTTCTGTGTAAAACATGGGATTTGATATATTGTTTATAATTAAAGATACAAAAACACTCATCAACATGGATATATCTTAAAGTATGTTTTACGAAGGTTATCACAATATCAGGGGTTTATCTGGTGCTGTCATAAAATATAAGGGAAATTGTCATTTTCTCTGAACAAATTGCTCATAGAATGTTTGAAACATTCGAAACACTACATGGGCATTCCAAAAACATTTTTAAAGTTTAAGAAAACTATGTTACATAAAAATTTAATATTCTCTAAAAACTAGCCTTTCAAATTTAAAAAGAGGTAAACTCTGGCGTTCATTTTTATTTCGAAATTTTTTACACTGTTCGGTAAAATCTCTTGCTTCAATTTGATGGTTAGAAAAGAACCACCTTTGTTTCCATTCCCCCGAAATCAAATAAACACCGAAAGAAAAAAAAGAAGCTATAAATAAAAAAATCGTGTATTAAATGTAGAATAATGGAGGTCAACTTTCCTTGAGAAAGGAAACTTATTATAGTTACTCATAGTAAAATATGATATGGGTCTTATGTAGGTAACCATTTAGGCGGGAATATAGAAAATCGCGTGATCAATGAAAATACAAGATGTCTACATGTATCCTTTCTCATCGCCTAAAAAATACTTTATATTGGCGAAAATAACAGTATATGTTTTTAATAATCTTGGAATAATTAGTTAAAGTTTGAGCGATGTATTTAACAAAATTTATAGGTTGGCAATAAGCGTCACCATTAGCCTTTTATTTCAAATATCTCATGTCTCGTACTTCAACAGAACCTTCTGATATGGCCTTTAACTATGGATACTGAATAAACTGTTGGTATTGACCCTACCTGCTGATATGGACGATATTGATGGACACTGTATAATATGTGCTTATAGGTACAAAGATTTAATTAGTAAATTTGGCTGTACCTGTAGAAAACTTATTAAAAACGGTATTTCACATCTTAAATTTTACGGTAATATTGTACTAAAAGCGCGGAAATCACTATGTGAGCCGTGTAAACTCATCGAACCTTTAAACAAATTTATTAGTAAAGGTTATCTTATTAATGTTGTAATAAGATCTCTGAATATTGTTTACATTGGCACTAACATCGATTTTGTCATCAACAAATTAAAACTAAATTTGTATTCTTTTCAAACGGTTTTTTGGGATGTATAAATACACATCCACGTTTATTTTCTATTTAGAGATTGCTTTATCTATATATAACATTATACATATTTATCATAAGGTTAAATCCTAACTATCCACCGCCTGTCGGTTCTTTTATTTTGGCATTGCACAAGTCATGCCTTCTTTAACTGTTCACGGCGTTAAAACACTAAATCCCTGGGATGTGTTTTAATTGATTTTAGTCTCTGATGCATGATTGTTTTTACTATTAATTCTTTTTGGCTTTTAACTAACTTTCAGTAACTGCGAGTACTCTCAAATCGTACTTTCGTGTTAATTTGACCTGTTGACACAATTTGTAATGCATTTCTGTTATTCAGTGTTTACTTATTTTGTGTTATATCTCGTCTCACTATTTTTATTATGTTCCACCTTTGATAAGTATTTAGTATTACGATAAATTTTCATTTCTGTATTCGTACTGTGAACAACAAATTTATTTATTTTGTAAAAAAATGTTTCTGTACTCCTAACAACAAAATTATTATATATAAATTTACCTGTGTACTTTACTTTATTTAACGTCATTTTGTCCCAGGTTAAAGTTGTCTTTTTGACATTGTTCTACATTTTTTTTTTATTAATATTGTATTTATATTGTGTCATGAATCAAACTTATTCGTTCAGTGTATGTTTACTTGTTTTTGTTTATATGTCTTTTTGATCGAGTAAAGCCATTTCAATTGATATTTTATAGTGTGTCTTTTTATGTTGTAATGTTAAACTACTGTTTCAGGTTAGGGTGAAGGTTGGCGCTTGTTAAAGCGTTTAAACCCACTGCATTTGTATGCACCTGTCCTAAGTCAGGAGCCTGTTGTTTAGTGGTTGTAGTTTGTTGGTGTGGTTCATACGTGTTTCTCGTTTCTGGTTGTCTACATAGATTAGACCGTTGGTTTTCCTGTTTGAATTGTTTTACACTAGTCATTTTGGGGCACTTTATAGCTTGCTGTTCGGTGTGAGCCAAGGCTCCGCGTTGAAGGCCGCACTTTGACCTATAATTGTTTACTTTTTACACATTGTGACTTGGATGGAGAGTTGTCTCATTGGCACTCATACCACATCTTCTTATTTATATTATATACTGTGTGTTACTTCTACTTTACCAGTTGATATGTCCTCTTCCAATAGCTACTGTATATGCTGTTATTGAAAACCCGTTTGCTATTTGTAACTTCACCTTCTGATTTGGCCCTTTCTGATGGTAAAATTGAGAATGGAAATGGGGAATGTGTCAAAGAGACAACAACCCGACCATAGAGCAGACAACAGCCGAAGGCCACCAATGGGTCTTCAATGCAGCGAGAAACTCCCGCACCCGGAGGCGTCCTACAGCTGGCCCCTAAACAAATTCAAATAAATGTACAGACCTTTGTTTTCTACCGATAACATCATCTGTTGATGTGACCCCTAACCGAAGTGTTTTTTCAAACAGTTGGGTTATGCCCTGTTCTAGGGAAGAACTGTCCAAAACAGTTCTAGGGTAGAACTTTCAGAATCCGTTCTATGTTTAAACTTGCCAAATCTGTTCTAGGTTATAATTGTAAAACATTTTCCAGGGTAGAACCGCTTCTGTCAGAAACTGTTCAAAAGATGAGATGTTAGGAGAATATTCTATACACATCGTTCTAGAACAGTTCTCCTGATAGCTCCTGACAGATTTTCAAAGTGGGTAGATCTACTCCCCATTGTTCTTCAATCTTAATCTCTTATCTTAATATGAAAAAAGAACATTGGCACGCAGATGTTATTTCCATCTTTATTTGTAAATAAATAAAGTTTATTCAAATAATAAATCTTATTTGGTTTACAAGAAGAAAACATCAGACGATTCAAACATTCTTTTATCTAAATATGTGTACATGAATAATAATCGTTTACTGATACACATAAATGCATGTAATTGTTACCTTTAATGTCATTATATGGCTCTTTAAACATTACAGCCATTCAACATTCAACAGAACAAATGTATTTATCAAATATACAGTAGTCAATTCTCTCTTTAAATGTATCTACATTATTTCACTCAGTATGCTTTTTAAAAAATAATGTTGATGCTATAATACAAATGATACAATTAATGTTTCAGTACTATATCGGGGTATTTATTTTCAACCAAACATTTAAACATACGTTCAACTGTTCTGATCTTAAAATATCAAGGAGTTATTGGTCCAAATTTGAATTGATCTTGATATTTTCAAGCCAGCATGTTAAAAATTTTGAAATGTTCAAAGGGAAGCGATTCCAATAAATTTACACATGATCAATATTGACGTATGTATTTCAAATCAGCAGGTGCCAGCGGTAACCGCTGTAGATAGTAAACAAGTAATCGATAGAAATCAAATGATAAATGTTATTTCAAGTATATTTATGATTTATGTAAGCCTTACACAGAAAAACACGAAAGTATATGAAATTTACAGAAAACATAAAAATAACGGATTTTTAAAAAGGGGGAGGGCAAAAAAAATTGTCCTGTCCCTATGTACCTGCGGATGCCTTATCATCAAGTGGGTGATCTAAGCCAATGTTAGTGTTTTTTCAAGCAAAATAACGTAACTTTAAAACGAAAAGAAAGTCTTTCGGTAATTAAAGGTAGAGTATTTTTACTTAAGCATATCAATTAAAGTCCGAAATTATCAATTATGTATACTATAGCAATTTGGGATAATACAAAGTGAATATATTTTGCTAAATAATAAAACACCGCTCCTATACGAATTACGAGTAAGTCTGTTCGAATTTGCATAAGTAAGCGTGCAATTTATTTTTTAAAAGTAATTTGAACTATAATGAATAAAATAGTAAGATTGATACTGATATACACATGTGTTTTACCAGGATACGTACATGTAATATGGAGGGGACAAAATATCTTAAATTATTGCTATAAATCACAAAATGATTCAAATCATTGTCCGATATTGCAATTTAATGGCATTTATCAGGTATGTTAAGAACTTAACGTGTTTAAGTTGAAGATTAAGAAAAACTTAAAATCGAAAAGAACTTTGAAGAGGTGATCAAACCTTCTACTACAGTTGTATCCGCAGTGTTTGAAATAAAATATCTATCATTTTTGAAAATAAAATCAATCAATGTGAACTGAACGTTAAATCAACGTGTAATGTATATAATTTCTTTTTTAAGCAGTGAGAAAAATGTTGAGTCAACATTATTTCTAATGTATATTATTTCTTTTTTAAAATTACTTGATTACCTCTATAAAAATATGAATACGACATGTGTGAAGAATAAAGGATTGGAAAAAATATGACATTCCTTTAATCAATATTTATAAATAGATAAAATAGCAATCTGCTGCAATAAAAAAAAGGTGAATTTATACAGAAAAATATACATGTAGTTCACATGGTACAGTCATAAAGTACGTAATACAGTACGCAATTTTATTGAAATAACGAATTTACATCGTTTATCTTCAGCATGAAAATATATAACAAGTTAAAATCTAAATTTGAAGAAACAATCAGTGAAAAAATTTAGACAATTTTCAACAAGAGTGGCAAGCTCATCTGAACTACCAAAAGCCATTGATTATCGTCTATTCAAAGTAAACCCTTAAAGGGAAAACTATTTCAAAATACAAATATTAATTAAAACTTTTTGTAGATTTAGGACCCTCAGTCCTAAACTTCCTACCGAATCTGGGAGGTGGAATAATGTTACCATGGTTACTAGCGAAAATCAATATATTGTAAACTGTGTCATTCATGAGATATTGGTGATGAAGTTCACTTGTTTTGATGATTTAATGATGAGAGAGAGCGAGAGAGAGAGAGAGAAATAAACTTCACTACCAAAAAGACCAAACATATAATGAAATTTTATGTACTAAAAACAGAACAATGCCGAACAATTTGTGATGGAATTTTACGTTAACATTGTCAGCATTTATATATTATTGTATTTATACATATTTATTTTATATAACCTGTAATCTTTACACCTGGGACATATAAATAAATTCAATGTATAATATGAAAATAAGATCATTTGGTTTGATTGCAAATGGCACAACTCTCCACCAGAGACAAAATGACGGAAGTTTACAACTATAGGTCACCGTACGGCCTTCAATAGTGAACAAACCCCATACCGCATAGTTAGCTATAAAAGGCTCCGAAATGACAAATGTAAGACAATTCAAACGAGAAAACAAACGGCTTCATTCATGTACAAAACATTGAACGATTAACAAATACGATATACAGCAACAAACGACAACCATTGAATTACAGTCTCCTGACTTGGGATAGGCACATACAGAATCTGAGACTAATTACAATGTAATGGCCCTTGTCAGAACCTGACACTTACAGATAAATGCAATGTATCAGTCCTTGTCATAACCTAGGACTAATAGATAAATTCAATGTATAAGTCCTTGTCAGAACCTAGACTAATAGATCAATTCAATGTATCAGTCCTTGTCAGAATCAATGACTAATAGATAAATTTAATGTATCAGTACTGGTCAGAACCTAGCCTAATAGATAAATTCAATGTGTTAGTCTTTCTCAGAACATTGGACTAATAGATAAATTCAATGTATTAGTCCTTGGCAGAACCTAGGATTAATAGATAAATTCAATGTATTAGTCCTTGTCAGAACCTGGGACTAATATATAAATTCAATGTATTAGTCCTTGTCAGAACATGGGACTAATAGATAAATTCAATGTTTTAGTCCATGACAGAACCTGGGACTAATAGAGACATTCAATGTATCAGTCCTGGTCAGAATCTGGGACTCAAAGATAAATTTAATGTATCAGTCCTGGTCAGAACCTGGGACTCATAGATAAATTCACTGTATCAGTTCTGGTCAGAACCTGGGACTCATGGATAAATTCAATGTATCAGTTCTGGTCAGAGCCTGGGACTAATAGATAAATTCAATGTATTAGTCATCGTCAGAATCCTGTCAGAACATAGGACTAATAAATCAATTCAATGTAATAGTCCCTGTCAGAACCTGTGACTAATAGATAAATTCAATGTATAAGTCCATGTCAGAACCTATGACTAAGAAAAAAATTCAACGTATAAGTCCTTGTCAGAACCTATGACTAATAGATAAATTCAATGTATAAGTCATTGTCAGAGCCTGTGACTAATAGATAAATTCAATGTATTAGTCCTTGTCAGAACCTGGCTGGGACAAATAGATAAATTCAATGTATTAGTCCTGGTCAGAACCTGGGACTCATAGATTAATTCACTGTATCAGTTCTGGTCAGAACCTACGACATCGTCAGAATCCTGTCAGAACATCAAACTAATAAATAAATTTAATGTATTAGTCCTGGTCAGAACCTGTGACTAATAGATAAATTCAATGTATAAGTCCATGTCAGAACCTATGACTAATAAAAAAATTCAATGTATAAGTCCTTGTCAGAACCTATGACTAATAGATAAATTCAATGTATAAGTCATTGTCAGAGCCTGTGACTAATAGATAAATTTAATGTATTAGTCCTTGTCAGAACCTGGCTGGGACAAATAGATAAATTCAATGTATTAGTGCTGGTTAGAACTTCTGACTAATAGATAAATTCAATATATTAGTCCTTGTCAGAACCTGGGACTCATAGATTAATTCACTGTATCAGTTCTGGTCAGAACCTGGGACTCATAGATAAATTCAATGGCTCAGTTCTGGTCAGAACCTGGGACTAATAGATAAATTCAATGTATTAGTCATCGTCAGAATCCTGTCTGAACATAGGACTAATAAATCAATTCAATGTAATAGTCCCTGTCAGAACCTGTGACTAATAGATAAATTCAATGTATAAGTCCATGTCAGAACCTATGACTAATAAAAAAATTCAATGTATAAGTCCTTGTCAGAACCTATGACTAATAGATAAATTCAATGTATAAGTCATTGTCAGAGCCTGTGACTAATAGATAAATTTAATGTATTAGTCCTTGTCAGAACCTGGCTGGGACAAATAGATAAATTCAATGTATTAGTCCTGGTCAGAACTTCTGATTAATAGATAAATTCAATATATTAGTCCTTGTCAGAACCTGGGACTTCTAGATAAATTCAATGTATTAATCCTTGTCAGAACCTAAACTTATAGATAAGTTCAATGTATAAGTCCTTGTCAGAACCTAGACAAATAGATAAATTCAATGTATCATTCCTTGTCAGAACCTAAACTTATAGATAAGTTCAATGTATTAGTCCTTGTCAGAACCTAGACTAATAGATACATTCAATGTATCAGTCCTTGTCAGAACCTATGACTCATAGATAAATTCAATGTCAGTCCTGGTCAGAACCTGGGACTAAGATAAATTCAATGTATTAGATATGTCAGGAACTGGGACTAATAGCTAAATTCAATGTATTAATCATCGTCAGAATCCTGTCAGAACATAAAACTAATAGATCAATTCAATGTAATAGTCCCTGTCAGAACCTGTGACTTATAGATAAATTCAATGTATAAGTCCTTGTCAGAACCTATGACTAATAGATAAATTCAATGTATAAGTCATTGTGAGAACCTAGCACTAATAGCTAAATTCAATGTATCAGTCCTTGTCAGAACCTGGGACAAATAGATAAATTCAATGTATTAGTCCTGGTCAGAACTTCGGACTAATAGATAAATTCAATGTTTTAGTCCATGTCAGAACCTGGGACTAATAGGGACATTCAATGTATCAGTTCTGGTCAGAACCTGGGACTCAAAGATAAATTCAATGTATCAGTCCTGGTCAGAACCTTGGACTCATAGATAAATTCACTCTATCAGTTCTGGTCAGAACCTGGGACTCATAGATAAATTCAATGTATCAGTTCTGGTCAGAACCTGGGACTAATAGATAAATTCAATGTATTAGTCATCGTCAGAATCCTGTCAGAACATAGGACTAATAAATCAATTCAATGTAATAGTCCCTGTCAGAACCTGTGACTAATAGATAAATTCAATGTATAAGTCCATGTCAGAACCTATGACTAATAAAAAAATTCAATGTATAAGTCCTTGTCAGAACCTATGACTAATAGATAAATTCAATGTATAAGTCATTGTCAGAGCCTGTGACTAATAGATAAATTCAATGTATTAGTCCTTGTCAAGCTGGCTGGGACAAATAGATAAATTAAATGTATTAGTCCTGGTCAGAACTTCTGACTAATAGATAAATTCAATATATTAGTCCTTATCAGAACCTGGGACTACTAGATAAATTCAATGTATTAATCCTTGTCAGAACCTAAACTTATAGATAAGTTCAATGTATAAGTCTTTGTCAGAACCTAGATAAATAGATAAATTCAATGTATTAATCATCGTCAGAATCCTGTCAGAACATAAAACTAATAGATCAATTCAATGTAATAGTCCCTGTCAGAACCTGTGACTAATAGATAAATTCAATGTATTAGTCCTTGTCAGAACCTATGACTAATAGATAAATTCAATGTATAAGTCATTGTCAGAGCCTGTGACTAATAGATAAATTTAATGTATTAGTCCTTGTCAGAACCTGGCTGGGACAAATAGATAAATTCAATGTATTAGTCCTGGTCAGAACTTCTGACT